GAAATGAAGAGTGTAGTATTTCCTTTAGGTCAAATGCAGTGACACAGATCAGGAAATGGGAAAACCAAATTTCATCACAGCCTTTCCTTCCTGGTGACGCAATGCGCTGGGCCATCCAGGCAAATAACTTAAAAACTCAGTACACGTTAAACCCACTTATCACCAGGGTTGGGTAACGTCACCCAAAATCACTCCTCTGAGGTCTGTGAGCCTGGGGTTGATTTGTAACAGCCTGGGTTTTGATGCGCTAATTGTTTGTTTATTTTTCCTTGGAGGAGGGAGGCTGGTCCTCCAAGTTAGAATGAGCTAATTGCCAGCTTCTTTCTCCTTTTTGCCAAAACAAACAGCTTCCAATTACTGCTATGGAAAAGCCTCCTTTCTAATCAGCTACCTAAGAGAGCCTATCAGGGGTACTTTACCGGGTGAATAATGTCCCATTAAGCAGAAATCTCTTAACACTAACAAAATTCTAGAGCCCTAGGGGGAAAGCCCATGACTGTTATTTATCTTCCATCAGGAGTCCACTTTCTCCCCAGCTCCCCCAAATCTGGCAAAGAAACACACACACACACACACACACACACACACACACACGCCCCCCTCTCTTACACATGACTTTTTCCTCAAACCCTATTCTCTTGAGCCCACTTTGAGGACACACAGGCAGAGAAAGAGCAGGTCCCAGGCCTGCTCTGCCCAGACGTGTCATGACCAAGTCCGGTCTCTGCCCGCTGCTGGACTCTGGCCTGATGTGGGCAGGCACCGCCCCTTCCTGTGGCTCTCTGGTCCCATTTGCAGTTGATGGGATCCCATGTGTATGGCAACCTTCTGGTGGGTGTGCCAAAGCCTCAGCCCTGCCCAGTCTTGGACTCTCACTGGCCACCCACCAAACATGCCCTGCTGGTACAAGACGCCACCATGCCAGGGCTCTACGTGGTGTACCGGCCCCACTGGACCTTGTCTGCACCTGGCCCCAGCCCCCGCAAGGGGCAACCCAGGCTTTGAGGTGTGCCTAGCAGGCACGGAGCCAGGGGACCTAACAGGCACCTGTGGCCTTGTCACCAAGAGCAGCAGATGAGCCTGGTCTCTTTTTAGGTGAATCTCCTTTAACTGGAGAGCGACTTCATGTGTTACACGTGTGGGGACATTCACAGCGAATCCTCCAGCTCTCCTCCTCCCTGCTCCTGCTCTTGGGACAAGGCCCCAGGCACCTTCGAGGTCCCCTTGTGGAGTGCCCACCAGACACATCCTAAAGCCTGGGGGATCCTTCTCCTCCTCCTTCCAGCATTCCCAAGTCTGCTTTGCTGATCCCTTCTGGCCATCTTGAGGCTCCTTCCAGGGACAATGCTCTCATATTTGCACATAAAACTGGCACTGAGCAACAGGGAAATGAAGAGTAATCTAACATTCTAGTGATCTAACGTTTACATTTTCCTTTGAGAACAAAAAGAGAAGCACATTTAAAATACCACATCAAGTCAAAAGAAGCCACAGAAGAGAGGAAAAAGTTGCCTATCTTAGTTCCTTCAACAAACACTCTTTTGTGCACTATTTGAATAAGAGGCTTCACACTATTATTTCACACCAGGCCTGAAAATTAGGTAGTCAGTGCTGAAGTAAATAAACCAACTGCCCAGTAACATCCTAAGAATAGAATCCAAAATCAGGCAGCCCGCCTGACTGGGAAGGCAGCCCCACTGCTGGGGAGCTGTGTGCAGAGCTGACCTTCCTGGGACCTTTTTCTATCAGGTGTTACTAGAAAATAAAATGGTACCTGCCACCTGTGGTCCTGATTGAGATAGTACTTGTAAAACTCCTAGAAGACCAGCCAGCACTCACCAATCCCCGGGGCAGTGTGAGGGCCTTTATTACCACCACCTGTGTTATGTCCTGGTCTCCCCACCTCCTTGCAGGGCAGGCACTTATCTGCCACTCAGCATATGAGGGGCTGACCTTCAAGAGGGTGGTAGGATCTGTCCGAGCTATCCACCCACAACCCACCTCCCAGGTGCAGTACCATGACTCAGACCCCTTCATCCCGCTGGCTAATAGGAAAAAAAGGATAGCCTTCCCAACCGGCTCATTTGGCAGGATTTTAGCCACACCCAAACGTAAATTACACCCATGAACTTGAAATGACCGTGTGCCAAACACCCTGCACAAATCATCACATACCAATACTGGGGTGGGCGTGCACTGTCTCTTCACATGACTGAAGGGCAGCACTCAACAGATGATGGGTCCAGGACTCACTTCCATTCAGTCTGACATTCTAAGCTCTTTCAGGTCAGGGGCACTATCTGGTATCCCTCAGCCCCATGCCCAACCCCTGCAATCAGTAATGAGTCCCTTGTGTTTGGGGCTATGGCTGGCAGCCACCATGTGCAAGTGGAGTAGAATCAGCCCACAGATCCGGAGCCACCAGGTGCCTGCATCTACCTGCAGTCTTTCTGCCTAGTGGCTGCAGGGCGGGGCAGTGTAAGAGAGTGGGGGGACTCTGGCTGCAGAGGATGGATGCCAGCCCTCCAGTGAGGGCTCTGAGGCTCTGCCTACACCATGAGTGCAAGGGGGAGGTTCTCCTGAGCCCAGGCCAAGCAGCCTGCATGGTACTTTGACACACCTTTGCTGGCACCCAGGCTGCAGGTGAGGCCAGCCTTAAAAAGAAGCCTTAGGCTGTGCAAGGGAGGTGGGAACAGGCCCCAGCCCAGAAGCAGCCTTCTGCCTGCACTCACCTGCCGGCCTCCCAGGCAGGGTAACCCTGACAAGGGGCTCTTCTTAGGATTTCCCCTCGACCAGCCTTCACATATAAATAAACAAACACCGCACAGCACATAGTGTCACAAGTTGGCTACAAACCAATTCCTCCACCATCCTATTTTTTTTTTTAAAGCAGGAGGTGGGGGGACAGGGATGCTTGGAGTTTTACAGAGTATGAATCTGTCTGTTCAAATCTTAATCCCTGCAATTTAGATAACTGGGATAGGCATTATCAGGTTAGGGGAAGCCTGGCAGAATGGCTCTGCAACTGATTACAAACACAGCACTTATCAAGTCCTAACTGAGTAATTTGCCGCTGATTTCACCCCCAGCTAATTAAAACGTAATCAGGATTGTCTGGCAATGTTCACTCGGTGGGCAGTTTGCCTCAGAAGAGAATTCACGCCAAAGAGACCACAGAAAGCTTTTCATGGGGGTTGGCTCCATCCAAACTGCTTCTTTAGCCACTGAAAGTGTAAATAAATTACAACAACTGACAATTCAATAAAAAGCGGGGAAAGGGGAAAAGATGTTACTCTTCCTCTGGGAAAGGGCCTGCGCGGTTCCGTTTTTTCTGTCAGTAAAATGTCTTCTCAGGAGAGTGGCTGGGAGCTGACCGGGTGGGCTGTTAGGAAACCAGGTGCCTGGGAACTGGTCCACTCCTGGCTCTATCTAGATTTCCCAGTAATTTCCCTGCAAGAAGTGAGCACTGGTCTTTCCTTCCCTGAAGACCCAGGAGCACCCCAGAGAGGGTCCCTTTCCTGGAAACCCACAGAGAATCTAATCTGCAGCTGAGGGCCACGTGTGACCTTCTGAGTGCACACTCTTGACCAAACTCAATTTTTACAGAACAGATTCTTTTAATAGAGAAATTGGATTCGGAGTGGGGCTGCACTTGGGAGTCAGGGGGGCCACACGGCGTCTTGCTTCTCTGCCTTAGACAAACCAAACACACAGTGCGCACAGGCCAGCTGCACTGGCCGGCTCGGTCTCCGCAGGTCCAGCCTTGAGCTCTTTTCCTGCTCCTCGCGCGTTAGCTCGCCGGCTGGCCAGAACATCCCTAGGGCTGCGGGGAATCAGCCCAAACTCCACCGTCACTCACATCGCCTGCGCGGACCGCTCAATGCCCTGGACCCCTCGGGAGTCCGGTGGACTCGTCTGGTAGGAGGGGCGCGGGGTTCGTTCCGGAGCAGAGTGCTCGGCTTCCAGCCCCAGCCCGGCCAGGTGGCCCTGCAGCCCGGCGCCCCCTCTCCACCTCCGCAGTTTTCCCTGGGGTGAGAATCTGGGAGCAGAACAGGTGGGCAACTAAGGATAGGAGCGAGAAGGAGAGGGCGGGTAAGCTGGCAGAGGACAGAGATCGGTGCGTGAAGGATGGTCTCGGAGCTCGCGCGCTCCGCTAGGCTGCAGAAGGCAGCGGCTGCACCTGGCACCGGGGTCTCAGCGCAAGTCCCGCGGGCCCCGCGCCACAGTGCAGGGTCCTGGCAATGCCCAGGGGCCAGGCGTGAGGCTCCTGGAGCCTCCTGCCCGCGCTCACCCTCCTCCGCCCTCTAGCTGCGAGAACTCACTGGGTTGGGGAAGACCTGGGACCCGTCTCGGCTGAATCCAGCACCCCCTGCCTTTCTTTCCTTAGCCTCTGCAATCGTCACGGATCTTCGGGACTCCGAATGGAGGCGCGCACACACAACCCCCCAACACACGTTCACACAAATGCTGGAACACCGCATTTCGGCCCAGTGCCTGGCTAGCGCGAAGGTGGCGCTCCGGGGCAGCCGAGGGTATAAGCCACAGCTCAGACGAGACAAAGTGCCGGCACCTGCGGGAATCCGGTACGTCGCGCGGCTACCCGGGCGCAGCTGGGCGCGCCTTCCCGACTAGCTCCCAGCGCCGGCGGCTGCGAGGGTCCCGGAGCGCCCGGGAGTTTGCGGGACTCGCCCGGGGTAGGGGGGGTGGCGCGCTCCAGTCCTGGGAAACGCACGAATCCACAGCCCCACCCTCGTCTCCCACAAAACTGCTCTCCCTTCCCAAAGATATCGCCTTTGGCTTTCCACAGGGAAGGAGGGAGCTGGGGGCAGAGGTTTGCGGGCTCCTGGCCGTTCCGCCAGCGGGGGCGGCTGCGAAGGCGGGTCGGAGCGCCTGGCTGTAAGATCCACGCGGAGGGAAAGCCGCGGTCAGCCCGCGGAGCCGGGCGAGAAGTTGGGCCACCGCGGCCGGGGGAGGACTGGGCGCGCGGGCACCCCGCGTACCTGAAAGTGCTGGAAGAAGGCGGAGATGCGCGTGATCTGCAGGCTCAGGCACCTGGAGGCGCAGCGGGCGCGCTGGACGCTCCCGGTGGACAGCGACTCGTCCAGCCGCCGCGCGGCAGCCGCGCCGGGGCCCGCGGCCAAGCAGCCCCCGGAGGCCGCCAGCCAGAGGCAGAGGGTCAGGACCGCGCCGGGCGCCCGGGGCACCATGGCTGCAGGTCTCGGGCACCGGCGCCGGGCGCTGGCCGAGGCTCCCAGCTCCGCGCCGGGGCTGCACTGCTGAGGACGGCGCGGCCGCCGCAACTCCGCGGGAAAGTTCAATCATTCAACTCCGGCCGCAGCCCGCCTGGCCCGGCCGACCTCCCTCCTAGTGTTCCCCGGAGGGGGTGGGGTGAGGGTGACAGGAGGCCGCGCCATTGGCTGGGAGCAGCGTGAGTGACAGGGGGGCCGGGCGCAGGGCCAGTGGGCAGGTCTGCGCGGCCGCGCTCCGGGGAGGGCGACGCCGAGCGATTCCCCAGGCAGCGCTGGTGTCCGGCGGGCGGGACCCCCAGGCGTGCGGGACCCCCAGGCGTGCGGCCCCACGATCCGTACCTCCCCGCCCCCGCCCTCCGTGCAGGTGGGCGTCAGGTGTGAGCAGGCCGAGGCCAGCCAGGAGAGGCGCGCTGGGGGCCCCCAGGGCGTCAGGAGGGCTTGAGGAATGACCCGGAGACCCTAAGTTGTGTGCTTCCTCCCCACTTTCTACGCCGGGCCCAGGCTTTTCCCACATTTGAGTGTCCCTTTGCCCAAGTAGTGGAAACTGAACTAGACGTTAGGTGGAGAAGAGGGGGGTGGGGGGGTGGGCATTCGCAGGACGGTGCCCCCAGGACGTTTCCCTCCTCCCCCTCCGCCCTCTCCCTGCCTTCCTCTTCCCTCAGCAAACTCCCTCGCCATTCCTTCCTTCACTCCTTCATCCCTTTCTCTCCTCTCCTCGCCCTCCCACCCCTCTCCCTCCTGTGCTGTTTATTATTACCCGGCGGCGAAGAATCTGAGCAAATCGCTAGAGACATTTACAGCCACACACCTTGTTTCCTGGGGGTCTGTCTGCCTTCCTACTAAGCACTGCACGCCCAGGGTCAGTGAGGATTCCTTTTAAACCCTTTTATTCCCCAGGATTTGCCCCTAGACTCTTGACTTGGCCATTTTAGCTTTGAAACTGCCTCTCCGTCACCTGTTGTAGCCTAAGCCTGCACCCCTGCACTCAAGCCCACTCCTATGGGAGTGGAGAACAACGGACCCATCCGTTGGGTCCGGCTGCCTGCGTGCAGCCATCTCCCATCCTCGTGCAGAATCGCATTCACTCCTTCAGGAATGTGGCTTTGCCATAAACACCAGTTGAGCATGGCTGGTGTGTCTAGATGCTCTCACTAATCCCACTCAAAGATTCCTCTTTGTGTAGACCCCTCGTGGGCCTTTTCTCCAAATTCGACTCTTTCCGCTTCTGTACATTCACCTCTCTGCAACTTTAAGATCTGAGCACACTGACAATTACGGTGACAACCACCTACCATGGACACAGCTAACCTGTCTATGATTCTTTTGCCAGGGCATCGCCTTAAGTGTATATTTCTTCACATAGCTTCAATCAGCCAAATCAACAGAATTAATTGGGCTTGATGTGTTCCTCAGCAAATTGAAAAACCAGAGCTGTCTTGTTCAAAAGATTCCACAGGCTGAGTGAGCATTGTGGGTATGCAACCTGTACCATTGTACAGAGTTCTACTCAGAAGGACCCACCCTTGGTGGAATGTTCTGTCACCACCATCTTCAAACTTATTGTAGTTTTTGAATAAGATTCCTTGAATTTTTGTTTTGCAGTGAGACCTCTGCCCTGCCTCTAGATTCTAGGCATAAGATTACTGTCCTTGGACCAGAAACTTAAAACTCTAGACATAAATGGGGTCCCATGAGCTCGATGATTTGTTCTGAGCTCAAAGATGCTCAGAATTGCTAACCGGAATCTTTTTAAGTGTGTTAAACGTAATTAATATTGACTGAGAGTCAAGAGGCTAGCCGCAGTGTCCCCAAGCAGGAGTGTGTATAATGCCATGTGTCGGAGTGGCATTAACATTTCCTTATGGTAACTTTGGTCTATAATTTTGCATGTTGCATCATGAAATTTATATTCTAGAAAAAGAAATTGTAGGGAGATGCATGCTGAGCTTTTAAAAACACCTTTTGAACCTTCAAAGGGATCACTTTTTTTTAAAGCAACATATGTGCCACTTATACATTCCACAGAATATTCATTACCATGAATAAATGCATTTTATAATAAACCACAAGAGAACAAGCAGTCAGTTGAACACTAAACTTGGGCTTGAACATACAGTCCACCTTCTTATGTTAAAATAACATTTGCAGTTATACTGCTGTCTTCCTTTACAATTGCCACAGACATCCTCTGTGATGATCCCTAACTTTCATATTATTTATTTTTACTGCAATTTAGAGTAACCTTTAAAAGAAAAACATTCTAGTCAAGTCAGAACAGTCAACAATCCAGGTTTCTATTCTGCCCACCTGTGTCCAGTTTACTGCGAAACTCACCTTGTGAGCTGACACCTGGAAGTTTTTGACGGAACTGTTAGGCCACACCTGAGGTTCAGGAAAGTCAGCCACAGCGGAGGGCAATCCTAGGGTATATTGCAGGAAAGATGGGTAAATAAGTAGATAGGTAGAAATCTGCAGGCACAGCTCTCAAGAAAATGCTTAGTATGTCTTGGTCTAATTCTCCTTAAACCCCACTAGCTGAATTTGTTTAGAGCAGAAATGAGCCTTACGCTGACTTTGGTTTCACTTAAATAGACAAGCTTACATTTAACGAAGGCAGGCGGAGAATGCCTTCCCACGTAAGTATATATGCCACTAAAAATGGGGCAGAAATTTTAATTTCAACAGCATCTATGACTTCACTTAGTTGAAAGTACTTTTTATTATAGGTATGTGTGTGTTCATATGGATTGCACAGAGCCATCTGTTTCTTAACAATCACTGGGACATATTTTCCAATATAGTTAGCCAAGATTCTGCTGGACTCATTGTTTTTTCAAACTAGCAACCTGTCTTTCCAGATTTGGTAAGGAGAAGGCATGCAAGAATAAATTCTGAAATGCCCCTCTTGGACAAGCAAGTTGGCAACTCCAGCTAAAATTAGAGAGGAATAAATATTTACATTTGACAGCACTTTTGAGTCCTAAGCAGGACACCCTCCCAGGCCATCGGTTGGCAAGGACCAGGACATGAGCAGGGATGCTACAGGTGGGTCTGGATGCCTCCTTTTATGATACAATAGCTTGCATCTTGTCTGAGAAGCCGCAATTCACCTCCAGAAAATTCAAAAGTGGGAAAACTCAGGAAATGAGCCCTTGAGTAGTGCTGGCCCGTACCCATATTTCCACGTGGGCAGGCCGAGTCCTCAGAATGAGCTAGCTGGAGTCTGCTAAGTCTCTTCTTCACCTGCTTTCCTCCTCCTCTGGACTTAATTCCTTCTGCTCAGCTTTTAATTGCAGGATCAAGGTTATAGTAAGACTGTTTCTAACAGGAAAAGGAAATCGTGACATGGGGACCCAGGATATAGTTAAGAACAGAATGGATAAAGGTCACATCTGTATCTTTCCCCACATGGTGTCAGGCAAGAATGTGGTGCACCACCCTGGCAATGTCCCCATCTGGCCCGACACCCAATTCAATGACTTTACACATAACAGTTACTACTTTTTACCTAGGGTCTCTGAGATCCCCAGACTCCAGTTTTCACAAAACGACATCAGTGCATTTACAATATTCCCCTTGCTTTCATCATCTTGCCCAGTTAGACCCCCTAGTTGGGGATAGTTTTAGCATACTGTACATTTTTTAAACCCTCTTCAAGGAGATTAGACCAATTTAGTTGCAGTCTGTATACTTTAGGGGTATCCTTTTTATTAATCACCTCAATGTTTACTAAGACTTTACAGCATCAGAAATTACTTTCACACACTGAAATCTGTCTTAACGATATTTATAATGGTGCCTGCAAAATACATGAAGAATTGTCACATGCTACGACTTCAAACTCCTGCTACTTTTAAAGAATGTATCTCTGCTGCCCTTTGCCTCCCGCCTTCCTTCCCCATCAATCAGTGTTCAATTTGCTGCCTGGTCTGCATAACTGTTCTGGGGTGAGCCACCAGTGAAGTTTTATTTCTGCTGCATTCATTACTAAAATCAAAGTAATTCCCAAGAAATCGAATGTATCAGAGGGGGCGTTTTCCTGCACCAAGGGCCATGGTGATGTTCCACGGGGGGGGGGGGGGGGTGCTCTTCCTGCCCCAGGACCCCAACCTGGGAATGTGTCTGTCAGTGTCCGTGACGGCCCCTGTTATTTCAGAGTCTCACTCAGCACAACAGCTGCTGGGCCAGGGAGGGCACTGGGGTTTTGACAAAGGATGTTTCATGCCAGTAAAACTGAACACTTGTCCCAGCGACGAGGCAATTCACTAATTTTACCCTAATTCTAATGTTAGCAACACCACAACAAGCAACCACAAGGAATCGGGGCTCTTGCGTCAGATTTATGTAAGTTGTAGATGTTAAAAACATAAATGGTTAGGAAAAAACTAATAGTCAAATGTGGGAAGCAATTGAAAATATTAAAAGTAACTAGTGTATTTCTGGTTCTTGACATGACCAAAACATTACTGGCTTGCTCCCCAAATAAGCATTTGGAGAAGCATTAGGCAAATGAAAAGAAACAGAATTTTAACAAAATCTAAAAGGATGTAAGTTTTATATTTCTGAATTCTGAGTGGCCTACTGTTCATCTGAAATGCATAATATACTATTCAGTAAATTTTTACTTAAAATTTTCTAAAATAAGACTTTTTAAGCTCAATTTTCACCGACTTTCAAATAATCATGGTTTTTTCTGACTTTCATTTCTAAACATGAAAAGAAATGTACGGGTCCTCTTCAGAATTACTGAAGCAGTGTTCTGTTGAAATTTGTCAGTAGGTCTTTCTTATCTGCTGTTTTCAAGCCCTTGGAAACGTACATTGAGCCCTGTAAATGCCAGCAGATTTGGAGAAAAGCTTCTGAAAAACAGAACAAGCAGCTTTTGACGGGAGACAGCGCCACAACCTGGCCACATACATAAAATGTGAAGGAAGGAAAAACCGGGCATCTGTGAAAATCTGACGTTAGGAATGAATCGTCCACTCTGGGGTGTGTCTCTGACTGAGGTGATCAGGCCATGTCCTCACTTATAACAGCTCAATTAATCCCAGTGTAGACTGA